CTTTGCGTCCGTCGGAGGTTTCTATTGGTCTGCTGTCCTCCCTGCGCCACTTGATGTTGGGTTTAGGGAAGCCGTCACCTCGACAAGTGAGCATCACGTCATCCTTCTCCCTCACCACGATGTTGCTCTTGCTGCTCTCAGTGTCCACGATGTTCGGCGGCACTGTCAATATATTACATAAGAACATAAGAACAAAGGTAACTCCAGAAGGCCTATTGGCCCATACGAGGCAGCTCCTATTCTATAACCACCCAAAACACTCACTATACAACACTCACTATACAACACTCACTATACAACACTCACTATACAACACATACACTATACAACACTCACTATACAACACTCACTATACAACACATACACTATACAACACTCACTATACAACACTCACTATACAACACATACACTATACAACACATACACTATACAACACATACACTATACAACACATACACTATACAACACTCACTATACAACACTCACTATACAACACATACACTATACAACACATACACTATACAACACACACACTATACAACACATACACTATACAACACATACACTATACAACACATACACTATACAACACATACACTATACAACACATACACTATACAACACTCACTATACAACACTCACTATACAACACATACACTATACAACACATACACTATACAACACATACACTATACAACACATACACTATACAACACATACACTATACAACACATACACTATACAACACTCACTATACAACACTCACTATACAACACATACACTATACAACACATACACTATACAACACATACACTATACAACACTCACTATACAACACTCACTATACAACACATACACTATACAACACATACACTATACAACACATACACTATACACACATACACTATACAACACATACACTATACAACACTCACTATACAACACTCACTATACAACACATACACTATACAACACATACACTATACAACACATACACTATACAACACATACACTATACAACACATCACTATACAACACTCACTATACAACACATACACTATACAACACATACACTATACAACACATACACTATACAACACTCACTATACAACACTCACTATACAACACATACACTATACAACACATACACTATACAACACATACACTATACAACACATACACTATACAACACTCACTATACAACACATACACTATACAACACATACACTATACAACACTCACTATACAACACATACACTATACAACACATACACTATACAACACATACACTATACAACACATACACTATACAACACATACACTATACAACACATACACTATACAACACTCACTATACAACACATACACTATACAACACATACACTATACAACACTCACTATACAACACATACACTATACAACACATACACTATACAACACATACACTATACAACACATACACTATACAACACATACACTATACAACACATACACTATACAACACATACACTATACAACACAAACACTATACACAACACATACACTATACAACACATACACTATACAACACATACACTATACAACACATACACTATACAACACATACACTATACAACACATACACTATACAACACTCACTATACAACACATACACTATACAACACATACACTATACAACACATACACTATACAACACATACACTATACAACACATACACTATACAACACTCACTATACAACACTCACTATACAACACATACACTATACAACACAACACTATACAACACACACACTATACAACACATACACTATACAACACATACACTATACAACACTATCACTATACAACACTCACTATACAACACATACACTATACAACACATACACTATACAACATACACTATACAACACATACACTATACAACACATACACTATACAACATACACTATACAACACATACACTATACAACACATACACTATACAACACATACACTATACAACACATACACTATACAACACATACACTATACAACACATACACTATACAACACATACACTATACAACACACATACACTATACAACACTCACTATACAACACATACACTATACAACACATACACTATACAACACATACACTATACAACACTATAACAACACTCACTATACAACACATACACTATACAACACATACACTATACAACACATACACTATACAACACATACACTATACAACACATACACTATACAACACATACACTATACAACACACTATACACTATACATACACATACACTATACAACACATACACTATACAACACATACACTATACAACACATACACTATACAACACATACACTATACAACACATACACTATACAACACATACACTATACAACACATACACTATACAACACATACACTATACAACACTCACTATACAACACATACACTATACAACACATACACTATACAACACTATACAACACTATATACAACACATACACTATACAACACATACACTATACAACACATACACTATACAACACTCACTATACAACACATACACTATACAACAACATACACTATACAACACATACACTATACAACACATACACTATACAACACATACACTATACAACACATACACTATACACCACACACACATACAACACACTATACAACACATACACTATACAACACATACACTATACAACACTCACTATACAACACAACACTATACAACACATACACTATACAACACATACACTATACAACACATACACTATACAACACATACACTATACAACACTCACTATACAACACATACACTATACAACACATACACTATACAACACATACACTATACAACACACACTATACAACACATACACTATACAACAACACTACACTATACAACACATACACTATACAACACATACACTCACTATACAACACATACACTATACAACACATACACTATAACACTCACTATACAACACATACACTATACAACACATACACTATACAACACATACACTATACAACACATACACACACACACATCACACTATACAACACAACACTATACAACACATACACTATACAACACATACACTATACAACACATACACTATACACACTCACTATACAACACATACACTATACAACACATACACTATACAACACATACACTATACAACACTCACTATACAACACACATACACTATACAACACATACACTATACAAACACATACACTATACAACACATACACTATACAACACATACACTATACAACACATACACTATACAACACATACACTATACAACACATACACTATACAACACATACACTATACAACACATCACTATACACCTACACTATACAACACATACACTATACAACACATACACAACAACATACACTATACAACACATACACTATACAACACTCACTATACAACACATACACTATACAACACATACACTATACAACACATACACTATACAACACATACACTATACAACACATACACTATACAACACATACACTATACAACACATACACTATACAACACACAACACACACACTATACAACACTCACTATACAACACATACACTATACAACACATACACTATACAACACTCACTATACAACACACACACTATACAACACATACACTATACAACACATACACTATACAACACACACACTATACAACACATACACTATACAACACATACACTATACAACACATACACTATACAACACATACACTATACAACACTCACTATACAACACACTCACTATACAACACATACACTATACAACATACACTATACAAACACATACACTATACACACACACACACTATACAACACACACTATACAACACACACACTATACAACACATACACTATACAACACTACACTATACAACACACACACATACACAACATACACTATACAACACATACACTATACAACACATACACTATACAAACACATACACTATACAACACTCACTATACAACCACACACTCACTATACAACACATACACTATACAACACACACACTATACAACACATACACTATACAACACATACACTATACAACACATACACTATACAACACTCACTATACAACACTCACTATACAACACTCACTATACAACACATACACTATACAACACATACACTATACAACACATACACTATACAACACATACACTATACAACACATACACTATACAACACACACACTATACAACACATACACTATACAACACTCACTATACAACACATACACTATACAACACATACACTATACAACACACACACTATACAACACATACACTATACAACACACACACTATACAACACATACACTATACAACACTCACTATACAACACATACACTATACAACACATACACTATACAACACATACACTATACAACACACACTATACAACACTCACTATACAACACATACACTATACAACACATACACTATACAACACATACACTATACAACACATACACTATACAACACATACACTATACAACACTCACTATACAACACTCACTATACAACACATACACTATACAACACATACACTATACAACACTCACTATACAACACTCACTATACAACACTCACTATACAACACATACACTATACAACACATACACTATACAACACATACACTATACAACACATACACTATACAACACTCACTATACAACACATACACTATACAACACTCACTATACAACACATACACTATACAACACATACACTATACAACACTCACTATACAACACATACACTATACAACACTCACTATACAACACATACACTATACAACACATACACTATACAACACATACACTATACAACACATACACTATACAACACATACACTATACAACACTCACTATACAACACATACACTATACAACACTCACTATACAACACATACACTATACAACACTCACTATACAACACATACACTATACAACACTCACTATACAACACATACACTATACAACACTCACTATACAACACATACACTATACAACACTCACTATACAACACATACACTATACAACACTCACTATACAACACATACACTATACAACACATACACTATACA